ATGCCGAGTCCCTCAACCAGGGAAACGACCACAAAATACGGCCGCTGCCTCCAGCCCCGCTGCGGATTCCACCACCGAAGGGAGGGAGCTTTGCCATGGGCCGGGAGATGGGTAACCGGGGCTGCAGCGAGCCCCGGGGAGCAAACGCCAGCCCTGTCCGTCACCTTGCAAGCCCTGCTCTGATTTACAGCCCCTGGGAAGGGGCCAGGAAAGGTTTCCCAATCCCGCTGATGGGGTTTATTGTAGAGATGCCGAGCAGGAACGCTGTCCGCGAACTCCCAGACCTCGGAGAGCTTCTCATCTCCCAGGGAACAAACACATCTTGCCGGAGACTTGGCTCCGGGTAGCTGCCACCGCGGTCCCTTGGTGATGGGGGGAGGCGGGTGCGTGTCAGAGCAGCCTTGAAATTAGTGATTTGTGCTAACGAACAATGGGGAGGCGACCGGCAGCCGCGAGCCCTTGGCTCCAGCATTGCGAGGGGGGACTCAGCCTGCTCGTCAGGGCTGAGGTACCCGCGCCGGGGGCACCGCTGCCGGGCAGTAAATCACGGGGAGACGGGAGGTGACAAAGCAACACTAAATCATTTGTGCCTTGAACTCCCCATGAAAATGGGAATTTTTTTTTTTTTTTTGGCCAAAACATGGGCGATAACAGCTGTTCTTATGAATTATCTGAGTCCTGAAACACATAGATCAAAGCCTGGAGGATTTTGTTAAGGGGCGTGCATCGCTCCCAGCCCATGCCACTGAAGACCTGAGCACTGATGAGATTTGAGGGGTCAAACAGCTGTTTGCACTGACGCCAGCACTACCAGTCTCACTGGGAAAGATCTGGGAGCAGCAGCTGAAAACTCTCCCTTAGCAAAGTCACCTGGCTCCAGCAGGTCCCATAAGCCGAACACGCTCCGCACGAAAGGCGCATTTCCACGGGGCCAGGCCTGCCTGCTCTGGGAGATTAATTATTATTCAAGTGCAGATAAAATGAGCAAGTTAAATACAGCGATAAAGAGTTAGATAAAGCAGAGCTGCTCTGTTTGCATTTTATGGCAAGGCAGGAGCTCTCTGCTTGGAGCTAACCAGACTCGGGCAGCTGGTGCAGCCTATTGGAAACGTGTCCCTGCGGCCAGAGCCGGTGACCCGGCACGCTGGCTGGGCGCACGGTTACTGCACGGCAGCAATTCTCCGGCATTCCTGCACCTAGTTTGAACCTGGAAAAGCTGCAGGGGAAGTGCATGGGTGCAGCAGCAGCCGGGGTTGTTGGATGCTGGGTTTCTCCACAATTGGGATCCCACGCTGGTCATCACTGGTCCGGAGAGCTCTGCCATCAGACATCCCGCATAGCTCAGCGATACCCCTGTGCCGTACGTCGCTGGCTCCGGCGGGCTATATTATACAGCACTGCTGCGTGATGCTCTCACACCCCATCCCTAAAGCATCTTACTGGGCCAGTACAGACAGGACACTGAGCTGGATGGAGCCAGTTCAGGGTTTCCAGAGCTGCCATCCCTGGAGATGCTGGACCACGCACTGGCCCGTGGTGGGATGCTAAAGCCCGATTTCCCGGGGGATTCAGACTTCCAGCAGCACCCACAGCACACAGTGGCTGCGGGGTCCATGCGGAGGATTGCCACCCCGGCTCCTCATGCACCATCCTGCTTGCCAAGCAAGCGGGGCCGCTCCGCACCATTCCCTGCCAGAACAGCTGCACCAGCCACGATCTTGGAAAGTTTTCTAAACTCCGCCGGGGCTGGGAGCCGTTCCCAGGAATGCAGGGTGGGAGGAAGCGAGGAGACGGTGGCAAAGGGGCAGGCAGAGCTCTTTGGCGAGGGTGACAAGGCACCCTTCATCTCTGGATCTAAACTGGGATGGGGTGGGATGGGATGGGGTGGGATGGGGTGGGATGGGATGGGGGAGGACTGGGGTGGTGGAAGCATCAGCCAAGATGCAGGGAGAGGGAGAGGAACCACCCGCGGTCCTTGGTGGGGCCAAGGCAGGTGTCACGTCCTTGGTGTTTTGTGCTGCATCCGCACGCAGCCGCTCGGGTGGGGCTCCCCCGGGGAAACGCCGCTCCAAGAGCCTCCTGCCTTCCTCAGACCTCTTCCTCCTTCTCTTAATTGGCTCTCATTTGCATGGGGGGGGCATGTCTGTGCAAGGCAGGGATCCCTCGCCCATGTCAGCAGAGATCCAGGGGCCTGTCAAAGGTGAGCGAATCCTTGATGTGCAAAGCGCAAGGCAGCCCAGAGCACTTTCCATCAGGCCGGGGAACTTTCCAAAGGTTCCTCCCTGCAGCGGCCGAGCCAGCATCCTCCCTCGGCGCGGCGGCGAGGCCGTATCCTGGCCCGCTGCCCCGGGAGCGTTTCTATCACAGCACCAGCTCCTTGAGAGCAGGAGCAGCTCTCAAGACTCGATCCCAGATGGGCTTTGCCAGCCAGCGACAGCCAGCCGAGCAGGAGGGAGTTTGCTTGAACTCCGAGCTGCCTTTGCCGGTGTGAAACTCTCTTTCCACGACCCACTTCGGGCTGCAGCAAGAGCTGGCTGCGGCCAGGGAGGTTTCCTTTATAATGGGCTGCAGGGGTTGGGAGGGGCTGCAAAACACCGTGCTGGGAGCCCAGTTTCATTTAACATAAAGTTTGTGCATGTCGCAAACCCAATGCCACCCAGAGCGGATGGATGCCTGGGAAATGACGGCTTGGGAGCCCTCCCAGGGCCCTCGGTGCGGCCCAGGAGAGATGCACACGTGGGTGGAGGAGATGCACACGCAGGCAAATGCACACGCAGGCAGCGGAGCTGCACACAAAACTCCAAAGGACAAGCTGGGACTCGAAGCGAGAAGCCCCAGCTCGCTGGGACGAGGCGCTGGCACAGCACTCGCAGCCGTATTTTGGGGTGACCCCATCCCACCACCTCTACATCACGTCCCCTCTACTGTCTGTGCCTGCAGCATGGGGCTCGGTCCAGGGCTGAGAGGGGAAAAGCTTTTGGCACTGGTGGTTTCCTGGGAAAGGGGAATATATTTAAAGTTGTAAATACAGAAAACACCTCGTGAGAAGGGCCAGGAGGAGCCTGCACCTCCCGGGCACGTTCTGCGCATGCACCGCACCGTGCCAGGCTTCAAGACAGGGGCGCAGAAGATGCATCTTTTGCAGCAGAATAATCAAAGGGGAACTTTTGCGCCCGTTTCTACAGCGTCCCAAGTCCCCAGGTCATGCCGCCTCCATCCAACCCACCCACGTCTAGCTTTGTCTGTGGGGCCTCAGCTGGGAAACTGGACCAGCAGCGCTACGGGATGGGGAGCTCCTCCACCGTGCGTTTTAAATGCCACTCGTTGAAGTGTTTTCCAGGCAGTGCCCGGCCTCATCCAGCCCCTGCGTTGCTCCGTCTCTCTCTGCCCAGCTGGGACCAGTGGCCATACTGGGTTACCGGTGAAAGGGGCTGGGAGACTTTTAGCAAGATCCTGGGAGGGATTTGCACAGAGGATGGTTATGCAGCAGCTCCCCTGCTTTGGCTTGGAGATCCTGGACCAACTAACTCCACACGAGAGCAGACTCCGGGCACGGTGGAAGTGGTGACAGATCTCAGCGGGAGACTCTTCAGCGCCGTAATTGTGCGTGGGTGGTTGTTGTGATCCCCGGCTGCAGAGGAGCCCAAAGCCTCAAGGTCTCCAGGAAAATGCCTTTTCTGCCTCCGAGTGCTCGTGGGCGAAGCAGACGGTGGGAGGAAGGATTGCTGTCCCCGGCCTGCACGGCTGCTCAAGGATTTGCCCAAGGCCACGCTGAGAGATCCTATCTCCCCAGGCTCACGTGGGGTGGCCCTGAGGAGTGACAGTCCTGGGGAGCCTGGTGTGACCCCCAAAGTCCCTGGGGTGCCTGATCAAGAAAGGAAGCAGGGGTGCGTCAGGGATGCCTATCCAAACTACTTGTATCCAGCTGACATTTCTCATCACTTTGCTGGTTGGGGTGGGGGCTTATTTAAATATATACATTTTTAAATCTTTTTTTTTAAATTCAAAAAATAGGATTTATGTCAAAAGTAAAAGCTCCTTTTGGCAGAAACCCCTTTCTTTTTAGCCAAAAGCCCTCCCAGGACCGCTGGGCCACGCTCCAGGTCCGCTCCTCTGTCCTCCCTGGTCCGAGGCTTGGGGCCACCTCCCCAGTACAAAACGCCTCCCACTTTCCAGCACCTCTGTGCCCCGTTCTCCCCCCACCAGGCTGGGCCCTGCAGGACTGGCCAGAGCAGGGGGTTCCCTGTGATTCCCCAATCCCTGGGGTCTCGGTGGGGTGCTCAGGGGAAGGGCAGGGGCTCCTGGAGGCACCCCCGATGCCCAGGGTCTGGGGTCCCAGGGGGACATGCAGGGCTCAGGCTGGATGGGGGCTCCCACGGGTGGGCCTCCGGGCTGTCCCCCCCAAAGATGGTCAGGATGGGGAGGAGGGGGGTGTCCCCAAAAGGACAGAGGGTCCCGATCCAGAGAGCAGGGTGTCCCCAAAAGGACAGAGGGTCCCGATCCAGAGGGCAGGGTGTCCCCAAAAGGACAGAGAGTCCTGATCCACAGGGTGGGGGAGTGGGGGGTGGTGTCCCCAAAAGGACAGAGAGTCCCGATCATGAGGGGGGGTGTCCCCAAATGGACAGAGGGTCCTGATCCAGGGGGTGGGTGTCCCCAAAATGACAGAGGATCTCAATCC